TCATATTTAGCATATGTACAGCCTTTAACAGTTACTAAACTACAGTTGTATAAGTGCTTCCGTTGGGAGCAACTTGTTGGCTAAAGTAGTAATATGCACAGCAAAACAACAAGGCTCGGGTTTGTTTTATAAACGTTACCATGGATGCCACAACACAACCATTTTGACTAACGTGCAAATATGCCGTATAAACGTTTATGCAACAGTTAAAAATTTGTCCTATAACGTGTTGTATAACTATGCTAAAGAATATTTTAAACACCTCATTTTAGAGCAAATATGTTGCAGAAAGCAAATTTGCATTCCACACAACATTAAGCCAGCATTTTCGTGTTCAGGCAACAACAATAGAGAGCTTTTATGGCTGAGTGGTTCTTTTGTCAAAAGCTTTTAGCACTACTTTGCTAGTTGGGTTGTTTTTGTGGTCATGACAGTTAAACTGAAAAAAAATATATATTAATTTCAAGGTTTATGCCCGCAATAATTTTGCATACTTATTGATCGTGTCGTAAAACCACAAATCATTTATTCTTAGTACGGCCCTGTAACATGCTCGGTGTTGTGAAGCGCGATCACGTGGAGTGTACGTGAATATGTTAAGGTTTGGTCTCTTTTTTCGACGGATACATGATAGTACGTGACGAGAAAAAAGCAATTAAGAGTAAAAATGGTCAACTCCAAACTTATGAACTTAAATTTGAAATGACATCGTACGCTACGACCTAAGTGTTTCAATTGTGGGGCTGTCCCAAAGGAGATCAACATTGAAAACGTGATAAACTGTCCACCTGATGAGGAGCAATATATACTAAGTGATATATAAATCCGAACACTCAGTTTAAATGGTTTTATTTTAATAAAATTTTGTACAAGTACTTAATGAAGCATAATAAGTAAATGATAAAAATTTCAAAATGATTGCACTGCTTTAAAGCCCTATGACCTTTAATAATGTGTAGATGCACCCTGATGTGCTACCCATTCTCCAACGCGCCTAGGCATGCTTCTGATCAGGTGGTCAATGTCCTTCTGTAGTATCTGATTCCAGGCAACCACCAACTCCTCTCGAAGTGCTTCTAGAGTCTGAGGAGGACGTTGCAAATTGAGCAATCTCCTACCCATCATATCCCACACGTGCTCAAACGGGGATAAGTCGGGAGATCTTGGTGGCCATGGTAACAATGTGACATCATTATGTTGAAAGAAGTCTATTGTGACTCTTGCAACATGTGGTCGGGCATTATCTTGTTGGAAAGTTGGATCTGCCAAGGTGACCTGGAACCATAAGCTATAGCACCCCAAACCATAACTCCAACAGTGTGATGAACATGTCTTTCAACAAAAAACTGTGGATTCCTCCTTTCAGCACGTCGCCTTCTAACCCTCGCACGACCATCATGCATGCCTAAACAAAATCGAGACTCGTCACTAAAGACAATACTGTTCCATTCCTAATCCCAGAGTGACCGTTGTCTGCACCACTCAAGGCGATTACGTCGGTGTTCTCGAGTTAAAGGGAGGACCCAGTGTGGCCGGTATGAAAACAAGCCAAAACTTCTCATTCGTCGGTAAACACTTCGCATACCAATAGGTCTTCCGTGTTCTGCAAACCATTCATTTGCAATGGACCTGGTAGTGGAGAAACGGTCCCTTAAGGCCAATAATCTTAGGCGGCGATCTTCACGGTCTGTTGTTCTACGGCGGCGTCCAGTGCCCCTTGCTCTTTGCGTACGGCCTTCTCGAAGCCATGCCTGACAACACCTAAGCACAGTGTCTACACTTCTTTGCACTCTAACTGCAATTGCCCGAAAAGAATGTCCAGTTTCCCGAAGTCCCACTATACGGCCCCTATCAAACTCACGAAGTTGACGAAATCGTACAGGTCTCCGTACGCTAGGCATCGTAACCGATCGTAAAGGATGTCAAGAACCTAAATCCGCCGACGTTGATTCTTTACTGCGGCTGAAATATTCATTTTTAGAGCGTTAGTGAATTAAAAAAAGCAGTATAAAAACCGGAATGTCCAACTGATAAGGCTGAAAATTTTTTCACTTGTTATTTACAGTAAGGTAAATACATTCACCAACTTTTATTGAAATAAAACCATTTAAACTGGGATTTATATGTCACTTAGTATATGTTGTCCAATCACTGATATTCTGAGACATTTGACAGCTTCCGTCAAATTGCATTTCGATAAGGTATTTTCCTATTGGTCCATAATAATAATGTTGGTGAAATCGGCCCTAAGGGTGGATTTCACAATTTAACAAACCATTATTCTGCACCAATAGGGTACGAGTACCAAACAGTCCGTTAAATATACCCAATCAGCCTCAAGAAAAAGGGATTTAGTGAGAATTTTGAATAAAAATGACCCCATTGATTGAGACAGCGAAGCCAGTATATGACTCATCAGCTGATATTAATACAACTAGGCGCTTTTTCGCAAACCCCGATTTTGGCTCTGAGGTTACTGGTTTGAACAAGAGAACCTTTTTCTCAATCAAATAATGCTAAGTATGCAAGTACAGTCCTGCCAGGTTCTCGGGGGCGGCCACACTCCCCCACATGCACCCGCTGCGGGCGCCCATGCCGGAGAAATAGAACAATAGAAATACTACAGCTTACAAAAGTTGGTTCAAGTGCTCGATGCATCCCTAATAGCACAAATACGTTGCGAAGAACTTGTAAAAGTCACAAAATTCGATGTATCAAGCCAAGTTCGCAATATTTCATATGATTGCCAAATTAAAGGTCAAAACTTCATTGCTAGGCGGAGTCCAAATAAAACCAGTTTCTCATTATCAAACGTAGTAGAAAGTAGAGAATCGACAGGCGTCGCAACACAGCGACTGCAGTTACAGAATTAGGAGGAATAATTGATAATACACTTAGCTCTATTAAACCTATGATCAAAAGGACGTAGCTGTACATTTTTATCAATTTTATAAATGTATTTTGAAACAATTTTGCTAAATCAAACTTCTCTAACATTGACAAAAATGCAGGCTATCCACTGAGTTTATTACGAGCATACAACAGGCCCATAAAATTAGTTCATAGATATCATATGCGGCAGCGTCCATCGTGGCAATACTACAGTAAGGGCAGAACAGACCATCAGACCAGCACGCCAGCCTGTGAGTGACAGCTCAAGCTGTACTTTCCAAGTTATAGAGGGGTCAAGGACTAGCGGACAGTTAGACATACAGACCGACCGAAATGAGAAACATGGCTTTTTGTGATCTACATGTCATGTAACATCACAAAAAAAACACAGAATCTTATTTTAGAAACTTTTCGAGATTACAATACTTCATCACCAGTTGTCGTGGGAACTTAAAGGTGCTGACCTGTGCTTCGCTGTTATAGAAGCGTCTGTTTCATTTTTTGACAATAAGAGCTGTTGAGCTTTTACCTTTCACAATTTCTATTGCGTTTATAGAATTGTTGGCACAACAGATGTCATTCGGTCGCTGATTTCAAATCTAAAGTCAGTTTGCCTCTATGACGACATTTGAAGATCACTTCAAGATCATATCCAGATAACTTCCAAAAAAAGCTGAACAGTTGAACTCAATCGCTTGTCGATTGACTTTTTCTGGTTACTGAGTCTGAATCTGAGGTGAAGTAGTCACAAGAGAGAGGTTTAAGGTAAATTCAAGGATAAATTCACACTCGAGTGTCTAACATTCGGGTCTAGACTTCTGTCTCCAGGAACGCATTTGAGAATTGGTATTTTCAGACTACTAAAGGGACAAATTCGGAAATGTTGGATAATCGCTTTCGACCACCTGCCATAATATAGCAGTATAAGGTTATATTTCTCAATACTTTGTCAGATTTAGCAAAAACTGACACTAGTCAAGGTTCACAAACGGGCCGAAACTTATTGACCACCTCTCTGAATAATACTAGTGATAAAGAGGAGGTGGAGCTAAAAATAGTGATTCGTTCAATTCACTGTGTACATGAAAGCAACAATAATAGCATATCGATGGTGTCAATGCAATACCTCGTACCTACGAAATGTCAAAATTTCAGGAGACAATGTTTTGCATAATAATTAATACTTGTAAGTGTTTTATTTAGTTTAACATTGTTCTAGGCCTCTAAACAAGCGAAAAAATTATTATTTTAAGTTGTCTTCTAAGAAATAGGTATTTAGTAATTATTATGTGAGATACGAAGTATTGCACAAAATTTTTCGTCAACTTTGGAACTTACGAGGTATTGTACTTATAATGAAAACCCATTTAGATTTTAGAACAATTTTATCTCAAATCCATTAAAATACAAAATAAAAGATACCCAAAAACTATATCCAAGTTACAGTAAAAAAATGAACAGGAAACAAGGAAATATAAAAATAATAAAAACCTATTTGAAAGGTAAACTGTCATAAAATGGCCAATAATTTTGACCAATTTTGGTTTTTATTTCTTGTAAATGATCGTATTTCTTTCTTTGCAATTGGCAGTTTGTGCTCAAACAATTGGAGAACTTGGTTTATGTCGTTTGGGGTCCTTCTTGGACGATGAGGTAATTCTGCAAACTCTTGGTCGAAATTAATTTTGTATGTTATCAAGCCTTGTTCATACTGCAGTGCCCTTATCTGCGTGACTGTCGGATCATTGGATTTTTTACCAGGGCGGATTGAATAGTAGACCAAATCGGCACTATAGTTTTTGAAAAAAGTAAAATCTGGAGTTACGACTTCATAAGGAAATGGGTTTTGACGCGCTTCTCCAGTAAGACGATAGTAATCATTTGGTATTTCGATGTTCTTATTTTTTAGCTTTCTTTCAATAACAGCATGAACACTATCACATTCCATTTGAAAATGACCTTTAATCAAGAACTTTTGAGTTATTTGCACATTATATTGGCGTGATAGACTAAGCAGAGCATTTGCCATGGTACTGTCTCTATTCTGATATGTGCAACCATCAGAATAAATTATTATTGGTTTTATGTGGGCTGCATTTTGAAGATACTTTTTAACGGCTTGCAGATCTACTGTAATAACATGACAGACTCCCTGCATTGCTTTTTCTTTATCATCATTTTTTTCTTTTTGAGATTCATACTGTACACATGTATCACACCGATCCTTGCGAGGCTTGAATATACCAATATTCTTTTTATGTACCCACTTTATTAATGTATTTCTACTGGCTGGTGCTGTGTTTTGTGTTTTTGAATAATCCACGAAAGCTTTATATAAGTCTGAGTAACTAGAAAACTCATGTTCAAGGTACAACTTTGTAGTGTCTTTGCGACAATAGTGACTAGGAAGCTTTGGCAATTTTTCTAGAAATGTTGTTATAAATGAATCATTTTGGGATTTTCTGGGTAATCTACGACTGTTAGTTTCTGCTCCACTGGAAGGTGTACCGTAATGCGATGTCTCCACCCAGCTCTTTACACTCCATTCCTCAAGCCCAAGAGTTCCCAAAAACATTTTTTTACAGACGGGTATAAGCTTATCACCAACATTCAAGCTATAGTATAGGGAGCAGGAACGTCGAGAATTTTCATCTTTTGTTTTTCTAGACGTCTCCTGTCTTGAAACAAGGTTGCAGACATATACCTTCCTTTGGTCCCAACTCAGGTTCTTCCAAAAAGCTGTAAACATTTCTTTACGTGCTTCTTCTCTGATTTCATTTCATTTTCTTTTTGAGCTGTTCTTATAGGTTTCTGAGTTACACCTTTCGCCTTGTTTCCGCTCTTCTCTTTCTATATCTTGAAACGTTCTTTTTTTATTTCGTGGTCGCCTAAATCCTGTATAAACCATACCCTTCATTCTAAGTTCCTTATTTCTTTTACGTTTGGACCCAGACTGTGAACTGAAATTATTGTTCGGTTCTTCGTTGATGATAATTGGTGGATTTGTTCCTACGTCTTCCACTGTCGAAGAGCTTCTGTTGGAATGACACATTGAAATTTGATTTATATGAATAGGTGTATCTTCAGCGGAAATGATATCCCACTGTACCCTTGTCTCTTCTAAAACACCATTTTGATCGGCAAACACACTTGAGGAACCTATTACTGAGTGATTATTTATAGCATCTAGGCTGATGTCATGGATTACATTCTGTACAGAAAATGGCACTATTTCACGTTGGTTGGTGTCTAAATTTTCAGGCATACTTGTAGTAGGAGAACCATCGTTCAGATTTTCGGCTACTGCTAGTTCGAAAGCGTGTGATATAGTGCTATTCTGTAGTTCGAGAAAATCTGAATTTAGGACTACGTGGTTCCTCTAAATTTTCTCTGCTATCCACATTATTGTCTGTATTATCGAAAACCATCTCTGCTTGGTCCATTAATTTTTCAAAATCCATAGTTTGCTGCTCTTGAGTTGGAGAAATATCTGAAACAATATTTTTCCAATCAAAAAACCTATAGGAGATAATTTTTCCTCAAGTACTACTATGATTTAGGAAAAAAGTTGTTCATTTATTTCACACATGACCAACTAAAAAAAGTATCCAGTAATTTATATAATTATTATATTTAAACCTTTAATAGGATGGGCGAGGAGGGTGAATTTTTAGCCGTCACAATGTTTTCTGGCATTATAAAAATGTAAGAGAAACGAAGGGAAAGCATAACTGATAAGAAAATAAGACATCAAATCAATGGGAACTTTCATCTAATCCTATGGTATACATTCTGTTATTAATATATAAATAATTATAACTTACTTGTGCTTGACAAAGACGCAGCTTGGCACATTTCCAATATTTTTTTGCCACGCATCTTGCAATTTTTGATCTATAACAAAAATAACAAATTGCAAGGAGAAGCACTTATCTGACATGCAAATTCATATTTTGACAGGTCAATAGCACGTATCTACGAAACAACTACTCGTATCGCTAGGCAATAGCTTGTATCTTCTAAATAAGAAATATTTTGTCAATTTCAATGCCACGTATCTGCCACAACTACATAATACAAGCTGAAACAACATTAATTGCTACTTTTCTTGCCAAATATGTAATACAACTACATGTTTAATATATATACTAATACCTACAACAATTAAATCAAATATAAAACGATTTCTTACCTTATTTTTCTGCGTTAAAGCATCAACACTCTACAGAAGACGCCATGTTTTTAGAGATACGAGGTATTGCACGAATTTGAGCGGGAATTATCGGTAAATGCAAGCCAAAAAGGAACCGTTTGATTGTTCAGCACTATCATGCTCTCTAGCTCTTTGTCTAGAGCGGGTAATTCAAATTTATCAAAAAATGGAGATACGAGGTATTGCCTTGACACCATCGATATACAATATTACTTAGAAAAAAGTTCGACCTCTCTTTATTATGGTTCATGCTCAGATGTCCAAATATTTTCGACACACGACGGATTACACACAAACTCTAAAATTGTAACAGTCTGACATGGTAAATGTAGTGTAGCCACAGTTCTAGTTCCATGGCTAACATATTGTTTTAACTTTGAAGTAGGTTACTTATCCAGAGTTATGTGAGAAGTACAGGGTACACCTACTTGATGCTATTTATTCAATATATATAATTTTAGTTGCACTTAACTTCTAAGATACGGTTAATTGTTCAAGAAAAAGTTAATCAAACTGGGCTTCTGTGAAAGGTTATTGAGATTTTTTTTTTATGCAGCGCAGTATATCAAGTAGTAGGCAAGTCACAAATCAGATAAACATGTCCATTGCTCCCTATCCCTCAAGATGGTAAGCTTTTTCTCCGTTTGTGGCAGAACCCGGATACGCAGGTTACTATTAAAAACTTACTTCCGCAAACTAGTTGCCTGCGAACAATTCTATTTCCCAATCTCAATTTGCGCATGAAAACCATAACGAAGTTACAAGATTGCATTTTATAATTGAGAAATGGGCTGGGAGATTACATCAAATCATTATGCAGTGCTTAAAATGCCCCTATTAAATGGAAACAAAGGTATATTTAGAATACAAGCTAAAAGTAATTACGTTTCAAATTTTAATGGATTCCTCTGGTGCTTGCTAAAAGCCGGACGGAATGAAGTTACCTATTCTGTTCAACAAATTGCGAAGGTACTGAAAAAGGACACGTCTCCATTGAGAGACAGCTCGAGAAAGAATAAGAGCACGAAAGACCTTTTTTGTGCTCTTCGCCTAATCTGACAGCGTGACAAAAACCCTAATAAGTGTTTGGGCCATATTGGGATGGTAATCAAATCCTCATTAGAGAAAGATTTCGAATACGGCGAGCTTCAGGTCGAACTCAAGACAAAAGTAAATCGTTCAATACTTCCATTGTGGAATGGGATTATAATTATTTTACTTTCTTGCTTTTACCTACTCAACATGCACAAGCGGGGTGACTGATCCAGACAACCTGTCGAAACTTACAGATACTATTTCGGGGTGAATTGTAAGGGTATAAAATATTTGGTGGAAACGTGTCAATAACGCTACGGGTCGTGCCAAGAGAAAGTCTTGCATTTATTTTTCATTATCTAAATATAGGTAGCTGAAAATAAGTATAAAACATTTAAAAGAGATTGGTATATTATACAGGGACAATCTGAGTAAAAACGTCACCGTAATTAATGGTGCCATCAAGTGTAAAGCGAATTTTTATAATAATTGTACAACTTGTGGAATTTGTATTACAGAGCCGGGGTGGTAGAAATTGATAAATGTTGCGTAGTATCCACTTGTAATTCTAAAATATCAATGAGTCTAACAATGGCCTAATGCACATCGTATTTTTTTCTTGCTTTATGTCAAGTGTTTTAGTTCAGTTAATGTAATTTGAGCTTCATCCTCTTCCTGTTAAGTGATTAATCTCAAATTCTGTAAACACATGTGATTCTGATTTCAATGCAATTGCATAAACTCAGTACCATAATAGATAAAACGACGCATTACATTTTTCCACAACCCCTCAATATGGGAATCAAATGAAATCGTCTGTCTAGTAGAATACGCCATGAAAAAGATTCAAATCTAAGATGAACTGCACCACAAAATATAGGATGAATATATAATAATAATAATAATAATAATAATAATAATAATAATAATAATAATAATAATAATAATAATAATAATAGCTTTATTATCCAACATAATACAAAAGCAAAAAAAAGCGAAAAGAAAACAGCAAATGCAACACAGGTATAAATGTGTAACATGAGCTATTGGTCCGAATAAGCCTTAGCTGCCTTTAGCAGGTAATTAACATTTGTCGTAAATATATCACAGTAACATCCAATTCTGTTTAAGTTAGAGCACATTACATATAACGGTGACTTGAGAAGAATGTTTGTCCTAGCTCTAGGAAGCCCGAATATTTTATGATTGCGAGATGCAAACGTTGTAGTACGAAACTTGATCTGTTCCAGGATCAAGGGGCAATCAATTAAATTGTTGATCATTTTGTAGCCAAATATTATTGAGGCACAGTACCTACGTTTTTTCAAAGTCAATATGTCTAAGCGACTACATAGTTCCTTATTACTTGTACCTCTCTCTGGATATGTCCCATCAATCCTAAACAGAACAAACTTCATAAACTTTCGTTGTACTCTTTCAATAGCTGTGCTATAGCATTGATAGTAAGGGCTCCAAATATTACTACAATATTCGACTTTGGATCTAACATAAGCATAATATAATAGCTTAATAGACTTTATGTTATGAAAATTACTGCAATTCCTTACAATGAAACCATAAGCCGCCAATGCTTCTGATGCTTTTTTATTTATACGCTGACTAAAAGTTAACTATAATCATAGATTATACCTAAATTACGTACATCAGAGCATCTTTCTAGCACAGACCCATCAATAGAGTACGGATATTCGCAAACATTAATGTTCCTGGTATAGCTGACTATTTTACACTCCCTCACATTAAGCTCCAACTTGTTTTCTCCACATCAAGACAGCATAAAATTTGATTGGTGTTGTAGCTTGATACAATCATCAGGAGTATTTATCTGCGAATACATTTTTAGGTCGTCAGAAAAGCATAGGCGTTCACATTCAACTGAGTCACAGAGGTCATTAGTAAATATCAAAAACAGTAATGGTCCCAGGCTGGACCCGTGAGGAACTCCAGAAGGTGCCAAGTAGGTCTCAAATTGGAAGCCATTATAGCTAACAAATTGTCTACGATCGGATAAGTAAGATTTCATCAACTCCCTAGCATCATCTGTGAAACCAAGTGCACCTAACTTATTTAATAAAGTTTTGTGGTTAATTTTATTGAAAAGTCGGTATAAATAACGCAATCTTGCTCATTACTACCAATGGCTTCCGAGAGGTACTGCGGTATTATAAATAGATTTGTGGTTGTTGAGCGATTAGCGACAAATCCGTGTTGATGCGCTGACAGCTGACGCTGGACGGCAGTGTAAATGCGACTGCACAAGACTATTTCAAAGACTTTCGAGAACATGCATAATATAGAGATTGCCCTGTAATTCTCAATATTTGACTTATCCCCACACTTAAACACTGGACAGACCTTAGCGATCTTCCAAATGTCTGGAAATCTTTTTGTTATAAGACAAATATTAAAAATCCTAGTTAGAACACCAACAAACACTTCCACACAATCTTTGACTATAAAGGACGCGATGCCATCTAGACCAGATGTCATCTTACCCTTTAGTGATTTAATGGCCTTCCTGACTTCATTTTCCTCAATTGGATGAAAATGGACAAATAGATTACTATGATTTAGTGAGGCATTATTATGGAGCTTGTGAGTGACATAGACGCTGCTGAAAAACTCACTGAATGCGTTTACTATATCCTGAGGCTGATCTATAGAATTATTTTGAAATTTCATTATCCCTGGGATTCGTGCTGTTTTGTTTTTGGAGTGAACGTATGACCAAAAAGCATTGGAGTTAATTGTTAAAGAATTCTGGATATTTTCAATATATTCACCATACGCTGACTTAATCTGGTTTTTTCTCAAGCGGCGCAAGCGTTTGAATTCTTGTAGATCATCAACAAAGGCAGACCTGTTGATTTTTTCCTAAATTTAGCTTTAAGTTTAATGTTCTTAATAATAGCCGAGTGAAACCAAGGCGGGTATCGGTGACTGTCAAAAATTTGGAAAATGTTGCCATAAAATACATCAACAATATAATTAACATCAAAAGAGCAGAATAAAAGATCCCAGTCTAATTGAATTAGCTCTTGATACAGGTTGACAAAGTCAGCCTTTCTGCAGTTATAAGTTATTTTACTATGATTGAATGTAAACTCAGGCTCTTTAATGAATATGGCAGTCAAATCAACAGCTAGTGCCGGGTGGTGACTATCTCTGGCACTAGAGGTAGTTCATCACGCTTAACAGTACAGGGTAATTTAGAAATTACCAGGTTATAATTAAAAATGTCCAAAAGATTATGGATAATGCGTGTCTTAGGGTGTAGAAGATTGCCATTTACAAGTTGAGGCACATTAAAATCTCCTATAAACAGGGAATTACAGTCGTGCAAATAATCCAGTTGCTCAACAGCATCAAAGAACGATTCAAATTCATCAACAGCAATTTTGTCAGGAATGTAAACAACAGCCACAAAAATATCTTATATGCCACATAGCATCTCACTATTAAAAGATCAATTGATGGAAATTGTGCATCAAATACAGCAAGATCTATAACCTCAGATTTACAGCTACAGCTAGAAGCACTCCACCGCCACATTCCTTATCAACCAATGTAAACTTACGGTCCTTCCTATGAACAATATAAGAGCCAGGAATTAGTTCAGCACTCAAAACATTCTCATTCAACCACGTTTCACTTAATGAAACTAAGTCATATTCACTATCACTAATAGCCGGACTGATTACGTATATATGTAACTTACTATTCAATCCACGAACAGTTTGATAGTAACACAACAAACAGCGCGAGCTCGAACTAGCGAAACTGCTGGAACACTTCAGTTTAAAGACTTCACAATATTTTTGGATTCCCATTAATATATCTAACCCTGAACTTCTGCGTGCCTTCAGCATTTCTTGCATTCACATCCTCTTGCGACTTTTTGTAGTGGTCAATCTGCCTACGAGTACGATCAAATGAAAGCGATATCTTCGTGTAAGCGCTATTTTTCAAATTACTTGCCTTTTTAATCAGATTAATGACTTGAGTCTCGTTCTGTAAGACCACCTTGACTGGTCCGTTTTTCCCGGCGCCAAATTGTCCCAGTCTAATTACTGATGCATTTTGTAGCAGGAAATGAGGATTCACCACTCTAAAAATTTTTCCTACATCAACTTTATCCTTGTCTGCCCTGACTTGGGGCTGGTCACTCTGATTTTGCTCCGGTAAGCCAAATACAATCATATTCCGCTTACGGCAGTTGCCCTCGTTCATTTCTCCAATAATCTCTTCAAAATCGAAACCATTAGCTGGAGCAGCAGACTTCAAATCATTATTCTCAGCCTTTAATGCCCTGATATCGTTTTGCAATGACAATATCAAGTTTTTTAAATCATTTGATTGACTCCCAACCGGTCTACAGTTGGTACAGGACCAAGAGTAGCCCTTATCAGGATCATTTAGCACATTGATTTCATCAAGTGAATGACTGACACAAGCATGCCCAATTTTGGCAAGCAAAACATTTACACTATAGATAATAATTAAAAAATATCTGAAACTGAAGTTTAGAGAATCAAACATCAAAACTGGTATTTAAGCAATTAATGAAAATTGAGAACTTGAAAATAACAAGTAAAACATGATTCTTTGAATTAAATGGTTTTATTGTGAGGGAGCACATACAATAATTGTTCTTGTGTTTATAGCTAACAAATAATTAGGTAGGTACCAGATACCAGTCATCGTAGCACTTCCCTCATCAATCTAAGGCATTAGTCATAGTGAAATAGTCGTGAGCCGAAGCGTTACCTTAGTAGATATGTAAATGATCGTTGCACGATGATCTACTTTTATACATATTTTGCACAAGTTGTTATTGAAAAGATATACAAATACATTCTGTGTTTTTCAGGTCGATAATCCTTCATATTTCTCTGGCCAAACTAAACCTCATGTGTTGAGAAAACCTTCTCTGTTGCAAACGTTTCGGTCACAACGGTGACCTTTTTGAGTACAATGACATATTTATATACAGCGTGTTACTACAATAGTGTGAAAGGTCCCAAAACCAGCATAGCTCAGGACCGGGTAGGCACTCCCGCTCCTGAAAAAGGACGTACAGCGCTCCAAAACGACAAGCGAACATGACCTAATCTGTCGTTTCTTGATGTGCTAGATAGGTCACCCTCGTCCATTGTCCCAAAGACCCCAAATGTGTATGTAAGAAATACAACCATAAAGCCTCATCATTGGAGTAGTATCACTCGAACACCCTATTCTTAAAAGTTAAAACTAGTATATATAGTCTTATTTGAAGTTGAGTCATTAATTTTCAGATAATGATTGTAGAAGGAAGATAAACCAAAGTATGTGTGTAAAAATAAAAAAAAATATTTAAAAAAATGTTACCTTGTTTTATAAAGTATGCTTCCGACAAATATTTCAGTGCCGACCTGTATTTGATCGTGCGGTCTTGGAGCACCGGCATGCCCTCCCCTGTGAGGTCTTAAGTCACCTGATTCACGAGCCCTTGGTACCACATTAACAAAGGCACGAGGGGTTGGTTGCACCCGATTGGGAAACCGATCCGCATATATCCGTGATGCCGCGGCAGCATTTTGTAAAGACTCCCCCCCACCGTAAATAAGAATCATGTCCACAAGTTCAGCATTTTCGTAAACATGTGCCCTTCTTTATTTCGTTTGAGCCACGCAACAAACACCACTATTCACTCACGCGTTACCGACTGACACATTGACTGAATACAACTGAATAAAATTGTAGTAAAAACATTGTGATAAGCGTTTCAAATTCTTTCGCTTTTTTGTTTCCGATGCGGTGAGCCGATAAGGCGGATAATATCCGTTGTTGCCAAACACGAGCACATAATATTATTGTTGAGACAGGGCGGTACTCAAACTTCTAAAGGTCTATAACTTTGTCACTTTAATTTTACCAGAAAAATGTTAAAGGAAAAAACATTTCTTTTGATCAGATCTACTCACTGTTAAAATAAATGAGTCAACTTCGAAGTCACCCTGTATAATATTATATAATATAAGGATACAAACATGCAAAAGTGTATAAACATACGTACTAAAAAGCACGGCACAGTTGAGGTAAAGAAGTTAGCCATGCACATTTCTGAGTATGACAATTAGTTCTTTTCAAACAGTGCTTTTCAAAAATGTCCCTGCCTACCATTTTTTTAAACTAATCAGGGAAGAGAGCTGAAATTCGGGGGATGAAATCGATGCATAAATACTATATTTTAGCCTAGTGGCAGCTTAAAATTTCAAGTCGAACGGGAAGCATCTGATGATACCTAATTATAAAATTATAAGAGCATTGTAACCACAGAATATAAAATGACTGTCAAAATGGCGGAATGACAGGCTCTCCAAGCGGAGCGTTTTTGTACAATGAGTCATTTATAGCTGAAGTATGTCATACCATCATTTTTTTCTTCGAAATATTCATCAGAATTAATTCCTACGTATCAACTATATTACCATTATAAATATGAGAGGGTGTGGATGTTTGAAACTCAATCACGCCAAAATGGCTGAACCAGGAACCGAAAGGGTCTGGATAAGATTTGGTACAGAGATAGGTTATAGCCTGGAATAGCGCATATGGTACCTTTTATCCCAGTTATTTCTGGGCATATCTATTTCACGGGCTACAATCCCAGCGTCTTAATGGAGGTGTCTGACGCGGAAGCGCTCAGTAGCTGGTTCGACTGAAATGAGTAGGGGTATTAATATAAGGCGTTTGCATCGTGCATTTACTGCATTTCGACGACCGTTTTCTTAGGGTAATAGTCTTGATGTACATTTGAACTGTTTGTGTCATATTTTACTGCACATTCAGATAGACCATTCCAAAGGAAGATTTATACAGGATGTTTGGAGGGAGAGTAGCCAAATGGAAATGGCGGATGGCTGAGGCTATTGATTATTTACAACGCTTAATTAATTTATATTTTGCCTCAGTTTTAAGGAGAAATAATGATTTTTTCTTTTCGTGAGATAATCCGCAGTTTTTAAATTTAGGTTTCAATATTTTTTCTATTTACGGTTGCAACGGCGCAAAATTGATTGTATTCTTAAGTCTACCGTTATTTCATTCAGATTCAACCAACGTTTGATACAAACAGTTGAAGAACAAGTAACAGTGGAGCAACAAGCTTTCTCAAATCAGTGGAAAAAATGTTGCGTCAAGTTTACAATAACCAAAAAAAAACACAAATGTAATTAAAAACTTCTCTAGTTAATGATCTTTCTAACTGTATGCCACATGTAACATAAATAATTAGGAAACTCACCAAAAAATAAATCTATTTTCAATGATTCGTGATAGCGGAAGCCATTGGGTTTCCCTCTGGCACAGCTAAATCTATTGCGTCATTCCTCTGCCTCGTACCCGGCTTCACTAAACTCTGGGCGCTGAAGAAAGACATTAAACGTAAACAGTGATCAGCACGTGAATAGATCCCTCGAAAGCATCCACGGATATACTCCAGTCACTTTAGGTCTAAACATCCTCGGCAGTGTATTTCTAGTGAATCCACAGACCCTTTTTCGTGTCATCTTGAGACTAGAAAAAGGATGACTGTTAAAATAAGTTACCTTGATCTTTCATGAGCTCCCAGTACAAAACATCATCGATATATTTTTGATGTAGGAACAACAAATTGGTTTAGAAAACATCCACTTTGAACCTAAATTGACTGGAGTAACATCGATCTACAGACAAATTCAAGGTCACTAGCAGTCGTCGGCGCTCTACGAATCTGCACAGGTTTGGACTTGTAAACGTGATTGTAGATGACACGACAGGCATCTAACAGTTAATTCACGCACAGGATTGCATTGCATACGCATTACGCATTCAGTAGCGTATACTCGTTTTTCGCGAGTGGAACGTTTTGTTTATATATTGCCTAAGATACGATGTCTGACACAGATACAGCCGACGAAGTGGTTGACATCAGCGCAACCCCACCCAAAAAAAGGGCTAAGAAGCTACATTTAAGTGCAAATGAAAAAACAAATAATATTAAATATATACAAAAACCAAATTCAAGAAAAACCCGATTTGGTCGTGGACGAAGTTATATGTAAGGTAGCACATATTTCTGGAGTATGTCGGTCCAGTGTTTATAGGATCATTAAGGAATATAGGAGCACTCACTCACTTTCTGAGCCAAAACCGTATCCTGCAAGAAAAAGAATAACGGACGGAGTAGATGACTTTGACAGAACTGCCATCAGGAGGAAAGTGCATAATTTTTTCTTCCGAAATGAGATACCTACAGTAGATAAGATATTAAGATTAGTTAATGCTGATGAGGATCTTCCATCATTTAAAAGAACCACATTCCGAAAACTTTTGAAGGAACTTAATTTTCGATTCTTGAAACGGGGAAGAAACAGTATGTTAATAGAGAAAGAAGAAATTGTTGTGTGGAGAAGGGAATACCTTAGGAAGATTCGGAAGTTTCGCGATGAAAAAAGAAAAACTTACTATTTGGACGAAACGTGGGTGAATGCTGGACATACTCAAGCGAAAGTTTGGGTCGACAAATCAGTAACATCATCAAGGCAGGCTCTTTTCTAGACGGTCTTTCGGCTGGATTGAAAAATCCTGCAGGTAAGCTCCTTCATCTATCCGGCAATTTAATTTTGATAAATTCGGGCAAATAATATGCTGTGATAGCAGATAATGTGTGATATTCTCCAAAAATGGTGCATTCGCAGTGTAGTCATTAGGAAAAAACTTCGACCCTCTTTTAAGCGTTATTTTGAAATTTATTATCATTTTTGGGTGCAGTCAATTTGCTTTGAATGGGTTTTGAGAAGTTGCAAACTTCAATTTTCTACGTTTTTCAGTTTTTGATCAGCATTCCGTGACTCTTAAATTCAGCTAAATGAACACAATTGCCTCATTCCTTCAAACTTAATCAATCCATAGTGTAAGGAATAATTTATTTCCAGGAAAAGGCAAACGGCTGATCATTTGTCACGTAGGTAGTGAGGACGGCTTTGTTCCCGAAGCACTGTGGGCCTTTGAATCAAAAAAGACAGGGGACTATCATGAGGAGATGGATGGCAATTCCTTTGAAAATTGGTTCTCTAAAATGTTACTAAAGCTGGAGAATAACGCTGTTATTGTACTAGATAATGCCCCGTACCATTCTAGAAAAATAGAAAAAATTCCCACAATGGCAACTAAAAAAGCAAACATACAACAATGGCTGGCCTCAAAAC